ACGAATCTGCATTTTGGTGGATAATAGACTTAACGGTAATGCTTGCCTGTTGTGTGGAATAAAATGATGTTCCGAGTTTTTAACAACATACACGAACTGCAGAGAAATCTGAAGACAACGAAAAACTCAGATGAAGATATTAATGCCGCTTAATGATTCCGGACTCGGACAATCAGTTAAAGGTGATCCACAGGACTCAGCCAGTTTAGCCACACACTACTTGTCCTCTCTGCGCTGTCGAGTCGGTCGCGCAGCTCGGTCCATTGAACCGCGCCGATGACAGGTCAGCGGGGCGCGAACACTGTAATACCGCGCTGTTTCATCCCACTTTTGGGTTTTTTGGCTTCCCATACAGTACCGCCGTCCTGCGGTGCCATGGTAACAGTTTAGAACGTGATGACGTCTCTTCGGAAAGACTATTATGGGCTATCAAGGATTATTCAGGCAGAGGGCTGAGGGGAAAAAAATAGCTGCGAGGTAGAAGTAAATATGGAGCTCTCAGCCGTCGGGGAGCGGGTCTTCGCCGCCGAATCCATCATTAAACGGCGCATAAGGAGAGTAAGTGCTCATCCCAGCCTGCTCGTCGGGGCTTCGGCGCTGTTACAGAGGCGCCTGGTTATTTGTTTATGCCCGCTCAACTGACATGTTATACGCGATAGGTTAGCCTAGCAGCGTTAGCTTGCTAATTTGAGTCCCCCTGTGCTTTTATCCGCAGGGACGGATGGAGTATCTGGTCAAATGGAAAGGCTGGTCTCAAAAGTGAGTGGTAATGACACGTTAACGGCAGTTGTTGCAACGGAAGGAGCGGTTTCGGGCTCCCCGAGCTCGCTGAGTGTTAGCACGGCTGAAGCGGGGACTGTGTAACGGGGCTCCGGTGAACGTTAGCTGACAAGGCCAGTGATGAGAGACAGTCAAGATGCAACGTTCAAAAAGCATTATTAGCTGATTAATGCGGTTTATCCTGGGGAAAAAAGACACGAATAAACCGAATATGTAGCCTTTGATATATGTATCAATAAATATTATACATGCCCATACAAAATCTCTTGAAATCAGTGATAAAAAAATGCACCTATTAGTAATAAATGTGTAAAAAGAAAACTGTAAAAATGATTTTGGACGTTATTATTTGCGAATAATTGAACATGCAATTATTGGTGCAGATACAGCACCTGGGAACCAGAGGAGAATATTCTGGATGAGCGTCTTTTCGCTGCTTTTGAAGAAAGGTAAACGTTTCTTCGTTATTTCAGTAATCCCAGTAGACAGATTAAATATTTTGGACGTTTTAAAATAGCTTTTCTCAGCCTTATTTTCTTCTTTTTTTTATTGCAGAGAGCGTGAGAGGGAGATGTATGGGCCAAAAAAGAGAGGACCTAAACCAGAAACTTTTTTAATGAAGGTGAAAGAATTATATATTAGCTATGTATTTTATATTTCTTAAAACATTTTTTTTTTTAACTTACTTGTTTGATTTTTCTTAGCGTTGTTTGTTTTCTTTCTTGGCTTTCTTTTTAGTGCATTTATTTTTTTTCTTATTCTCTTGCACTTTAAAGCATTGAAACCATGGTATCATGATGCTGTGCTTACATTTTTTAATTAGATTTTTTTTATATAGGCAAAAGCTAAAGCAAAAGGCAAAAACTGTGAGTTCAGACGGGAAATGTCTCAAGATTTACATGTGTCATTCCCGGTAGCCGAACCGGTTGTGACACCCAGAGCACGTGAGGGACTGCGGGCAGTCGTGCCTACGATTTTTCCACCGAGCACCATCAACAGAGGAGAAAGTGTTCGTGTGCGTCCACCGGTCTCTGAGAGAGACCCACTGATGCATGGGATGCTGGTACAACGCCCGCTGGATTTTGCCAGCTCACCAAAAAAGCGAGGACCAAAGCCAAAGTTGCGTCCAGGAGGTTCATCCACTGAAGGTGTTAAAAGAAAGGCAGATGAACCATTATCTTATCGACCTTCCAAAACTGAGAGATCAGGAGAGACCTCGAACTGTGATGTCATCCATTTAACCCAGAAGTTTCAAGCAGAATCCAGCCACGTTAAAAAGCAAATGGGAAGCAGGTCAAGTGATGTAAAATTCACACATGGTGGCAACATCTTAAAAGCTGGGCTTGGTGTTTTGGAACATCGACGGAAGGACAGCCCAAGTGGTGCCATAAAGCATTCCAAAATGAAACATCCTCCCAAAAGCAATCTATTTCGATCCACCGATCAAACCAGAGAGCAGTTGTCTCTGAGTTTTGTAGACGAAACCGATCAGTCCTGGTTGCCTTGTTTGAAGAATATGGAGAAAATTGTTGTTACTGATGTAACAAGTAACTCTTTGACTGTAACCATAAAAGAGAGTTCAACGGACAAAGGTTTCTTCAAAGAAAACAGATGATGTGATTTTAGTTTCTGTATGTGCGTGTATGAAATATTGTAATCAAATTAGAAACAATCTACATTTCTATATCATTTCTAGTCTATAAATGTAAAGTCTTGCAATCATGTTCATAATGCAAAAAAAAAAAATTATATATGTTTAGCCTACATTTCCATTCGCATTTTCTATGAAAATGAAGTTTATTTTTCTATTTCCCAGATTTTATGTAACGTATACCAGTTGGTTCCTCCTTTTGGTTGCCTTTTTCAGCTTTATTATGAATGTAGGTATAGGTGCTGTTAACACATATTAACGTTTCAGCTTAATGCACCTTTTTAAAGGACATTGTTTAGTCCCTCTTTTATGAACTTATGGTATTTTGTTGGTTATATTTTGTATATATTTGAAGGTTCCAAACAGTAGTCTCTATTAAAGCACACCCTTTATAAAGAGTGAAGGGAAATATGCTGCATATGTAATTAAACCCGTTAGGCTCTTTTTAGGCCTAAATATTTAAGGCACAATCATTTAGGGTTTAGAATCGTATTTCGTTACTTTTCGTTTTTCTGTTGAACATATAATTGATGTGGATGTTAACATTTCAATATAAAGCTGCTTTACGATCCTTTTACCCTTCAAAAACGTAAGAAAGTGTTTGATTGGTACAAATCATTTCTAAACTTGCGGAATACTTTAGTGAGCTCGCAGCCTGTTTAAGTGATGAAATTAAACATTTTAATGAAATTAAACGATGTTAACCTGTTTCATTAACGGTGTAGAGTATACAAGAGGTCAGTATTTTTGCAGAGAAAACAAAGTATCAAATCGAAAATAAAAGTGTAATTTATCTATGTCTGTAGAATTGATTCAAAACGTATTGCTCACGCATAATAATTAAAAATGAATCATCTTCATACTTGTACATCGTTTCTATCTGGCCTTATATTTTTAATCATTTAATTAACACTGTTTTTTTTTGTTTTTATCTGAAAGCCTTTTCACTCAGTCTGTTTTCATTACAGACTGAGTGCCTGTAAACAAAGACTAAAATAAATGGTAAACCGATATATAATATTTTAAACAGCATGTCGGCATATTTTGTTCATCTGAGAGCCTTTTACGCTGTTTTAATAAAATTACAACAAACAAAAAAATCATTCAAGTTGTCGATAAAGGGAAGCTGGCGACTGGTCAAATCCAATCATTCGTCGTAGCTCAGATATTCACTCCGTTTCAAGCTTATTTCTAATATATGTATATTATACACATAAAATTACATAATATTATTATTACATTTATTATTTTATTTTATACATTTTATTATTAAGAATAATACGCCACCGTACAAGTGTCGTAGGCATAGCACATAATAATTTGTAATTTCTGTATTTCTATTTTTAAAGATCTCTAATGAAAGAAATTATTTCTGACTGGTACTTGATGTCTGTCAACAAACTCCACTGTTAGATATTGTCAATATTTTTCAATAATTGCAAAAATACAAACGCTAAAATTGATTTAATTAGGGGCGTGATTTCAAATTGAATGTAAAATTTTGTAGCCGCCTTGTTGAGGAAGTGCAGTCCACCAAAAGCCACAAGATGTCGCCATGAGCTTGATACAGCAGATCCATATTCCTTTTAATAATCCCTTTAATTCCGTCTATCACTGATATACTGTGGTTTTTACTTCAAAATTAAATATTCAAAAACACAAACGGCCTATAACTAACAGTCACAGACTGCTCAATGTGTCGAAGGTCCCCGTGTTTGTACTGTTGCCTATATTTTCATTGGTTTAATTTTGGATTATCTGTGTTTTGTGTTTTATAATTCAAATGTAAAATAAACATCTGAGACATTAAGAATTCAACACTTAACACTGAAATAAATGCGAAATTAATTCTAATGTTTTGAGTTTTTGAATGAACTTATGTATTTTTTTTTTAAGAAAAACTGCGCTACACTCTAAAAAATGCTGGGTTAAAAAGGGACAAACCCAGCTACCGGGTCAAAACAACCCAACCGCCGGGTCAAAACAACCCAACAGCCGGGTCAAAACAACCCAACCGCCGGGTCAAAACAACCCAATAGCTGGGTTTGTCCCTTTTTAACCCAGCGCTGAGTTGTATTTAACCCAGCGTTTTTTAGTGTATTTATTTGTTTAACTGCAATGAATGTCTTTTAAATCTTAGATTTTTACGGTCACACAGTTTGATTTTTTTTGTCGTCTTATGCAGTGACTGTCCGAGACGACTTAAATAACCAAATATTTGACACCTATATTATCGAGAATTATATTTAGCTATTTAAAAATTTACATAGGCCTATATTCCGCCAATCATATAATTTCGAAAGTGTAACATTAAAGTTCTATATCGGTTTTACTGAAAAAAAAAAAAAAAAAAGTTGACCACAGAGTGCGCACTCGTCTGATGCTAGTTTTCTGAGAATAGATAGGAATAATTCAACATACAGGCTATATTAGTAGCTACTATAAGTTGTAAGTAAAAATACTATATATTTTTTAAGAGCTAAACTCTACTTAAGCTAATGATCTCTTATGCATTCTTTAATTTTTGTAGTGGACTTAAAGTGTTACCAATGTCCACCTCTTTTACTCAGCTGATGACTAACCTCTCTAACTAACCTGTGACAGATATGACAGGGTCATCACCTTTGACATGGTGCTTTTAAAGCTTCCCACAATGTGTTCATATATAACCTGTGTTAAATCCATACATGTTAACAGGCTCAAACACACTTTTGACATGTTTGTATTTAGTAAGTACCTTTTTGAGCTTGTCAAATATGTGAAAAAGAGTCATTTCAGTTGTATTGCAGAGTTTATTCTGATTAATTACCAAGAAATGGGTAATATAAGGCATAAAAATGTGCATGAATGAACATAAAATAATAGAATACTGTGATTGTATGCATTAAAGTGTGAATATAATGTATTTGATTAGATTAGAATTAACACTGCTTTAGACAACATTTTCCATTTTTTTAAATTTCCTAATTTAAAATATAAAATTCTAAATATTAATATTCACCAGAGCATCCTTTCCCCATATTTCCAGCTTCACAGCAGGATTTACAAACTCTCTTACATTTTTATTGAATTAAATGAGATGTAAATGATGGGCAAATCATTAGAATAAGTTCAATTCTTGTGCACTCAGACAGAGAATTAAGAAAATAAAAATCCAAAGCCTGTTTGAAAGATGTACTGAATGTTACTTCATCAGTAGACGGGTGTTGTTGTCTCCGAGCAAAATTCTGAAAGGAAAAAATGGCTTAATCAAAATATCTTAATCCAGTTAAATTGAGAAATATAGAATATGGCTGATTAATGATGATTTCAGTTCTCTCTATGGAACTCACAATGCTTGACACGAGTCTGACCTGACTAATGCAGCAGCAATAAGGCCACCAGTAATGGGTCCCACCCAGTAAACCCAGTGGTGAGTCCAATAGTTGGTCAGCACTGCAGGACCCAGAGCTCTTGCAGGATTCAAGCACGTACCAGACACATCACCGCTGAAACCCACAGAAGATATTAATCTCCAGACCGCACACAGGAAATTATGTGTAACATAATCAATGAACTCACCCCGCTAGTACATTAATAATGACTGTGCAGCCCACCAAAAATGGGACTAAAGGACTTTTGCTCTTGGCATTAACTGCACCCAGTAAGACCACCATGGTAACAAGACACGTCATGGCAATTTCTCCAAATAACGGCTTCAAAACATGGTCATCAGCCTGGAGAACCGTAAATGCCGCACCTTGAGCTCGTGCATATTTCTCATTCGAGGTCATTCCCTGAAAGCGACCAAGAAAAACATGTCAAATCCACTGAATTGAATGGTTCAAGGCCACATGTATCTTACTCACATTGGCCATGACTGCACCAAGTAAACCTCCAGTAAGCTGAGAGATCAGGTACGGCGCCACCATTTTCAGCTCCATTCCACCACAGAGGTAGACGGCTATGGTGAATGATGGATTGAAATGTGAACCACTGTGTCAGAAGAAAAAAAATCTTTGCATTATGCATCAGTAAGCAGATGCTTTTTATCCAAGGCAACTTCTAAGGTATGCTCAGGACTGCAGGGACAAAACCTTTGGAGAAACCACACTAGACAAGACCACACCAGATCAACCAAGCCACATCACCCCGAAGATCGGGAGTTTCCAAAGGGGGTCAGTTATCCCTGGTGGTACTGCAGGGGGTCGGTGGATTCATATTTATAAGGCTATAGAAGATAATATAAGAGGTTGACAATCCTGACTATTTTATTTGACATGAAATAAAACTTTATTATTCATTTTATTTATTTACTGAAAATCTAATTTATTAATAACTAAAACGCATTTAATAATTAAAAAGCATAATAAAATATGAATTATAAAATATATATAATTAAATAGAACACAATGTATATTTTGTAATGATATAGTTTATATAAAAACCATACTTTGTAATTTACATATTTTTGATAATTATAGAGAGTCTGAGAGAGAAATTGTAATATAATTTAATATATATAATATAATTTATAAATATTAAAATGTAAAATAAAACTTAAATGTAAAATATAATTTCTATTATATATAATTATATATACAGTTTTAAACTGTATAAAATTTTATTTATTATATAGCAATACGTTTGAATATAATTTATGTAACTACATATAAAATATATTTTATACATATTTTATTATATATATTACATCATAAGCTATATATGTTAATATGTCAAATATAATTTGTAATTCCTTTTAATATATACATTTGTAAATTTTACACACACACACATACACACACACACACATACAATTTCTATATTTCAAATTATAATTTTACATGCACACATATTTATATTATATATATATATATTAGTATTGCATGAAGAGGGGGTTAAAATGTTCATTATAAAAATAAAGATTAAAATAAAGATTAGTTTTGTTTAAATGTAAATCCACTTAGTCACGCTACATGTTTTTTGTTCACAAATAAGAAAGCAATAAAAAGCAATAAGAGAAAAATCAAAAAGACACTTTTTTTTGTTAAAGTCACACTCGGTATGCTATTTTTATCATATTTATTATTTTTGTTCTTTTTTGACAGCCACATACAGCATGCTATATCCATGAGTAAAAATACATTTCTTCTCACCTGATCTCTGCCATACATGCAATCAGCACCGCCACTGCGAGTCCGTGAGCCAGCGCAGGCTGGAGTCTGCCGGCGTCCGCCACGTTCTCAATGACGGACACACATCCGATGAACACAAAGAAAGCGGTTCCCACCAGCTCGGCTACACACGGCTGAAAGAGCCGCTCAAACAGGTTTGGCTGTCTCACCTCATGTTGTCCCATCTTATCCATCAGAGCTTTCTCCATGTTGTGAAGCTCCACTTTGTCTTCAGCCATTCTTTCTGAGGCACGAATGGATCTTGCGTCCTAATATGTTGGAGGATGCTACTCTACATTTGAATGGGAGTGAATTGCTCAACGACCTTTAAGGGCAATTGATGATGAAAAGACTAATAATAAACGTAAAATGCTGACCAGTGGTAAAGAATTCATATTGAAGGAATTTAAAATTTAACAGCTAATTTAGACGAGGAACTGAAGAGAAACTACTTAAACAGCAGAAAGGTTAACCTGTGCTGGTTATATAGATTACAAGGAAGACTACAAACACGTAGAAGTTAAATACATGAATCAGTTACTTAGTAATGGAAATTATTCTGTTATTTTATCTGTACAAAAACAGTCCGTTATGCTGCTTGACACTGCAACACTGTTATTTGTTATCATTTACTTTATTATCATAATCATAATACAGATTTGTAGCGCAAATAGTTTTACCGTTTACTGCACTTTGTTATTCCGGAGTCCAGCCCGGGGTCGTCACATGTGGTTGCCGCTCCTTCGTCGAATCCGCCGGGCGTGCCGTTCTCGACCCCACCGCTTCTGCTCACCCTAGCCCGGCCTCAGCTCACGCTAAGCCGCGGCTTCCCCTCACGCTAGGCCGACGTGTTTTTCGTTGTGAAAGCTAAACAACTTTGTTTGGTCTTCCAAAAGAGGACATGACTACAAATCAGTGGTTAAGTTGTATTTACAACACTGTTCCAGAACAGTTTAACCCAAATATCCAGATGTGTGCAGCACATTTTATGGAGGACTGTTTACTGATCCTGGGAGAGTAGACTACAATGCCGGCAGTTCTGACTCACAGTCTGTAAGTATGTTTTCATTTAAAGGATTTGCCACTGATGATTCAAACGCGAGTTTTGAGCAGTGTAGAGTAGCACTTGTTGTTTGTCATTTCTCCGATCACAAATGCAGACAGGGTTTTATGTTTACGCGGCGCGATGCAATGCAACGCAACGCGTAAAAAGACAGTATAAGTCATTATAATCTGTAATTATGTCCCCACTGGATGCAACAAATGCCTTGTTTATAATGGGTTTTAAATGAATCGAACATTCAAAGAAAATTACTAGCTTTGCTCAGGCGCTGCCAAAGGTGTGGTCTAGTGGAGATTAAAGCCGTAGCCCATGCGATCACATCTACATTTGTAACTAGTTTGAATCTTATTCTGTAACAAGAAGTAAAAACATAATGGATCACTTTACACTGTGGCAAGAACGGGGGAAAAAATTGACTATTTTGTCCTATACTGTGAAGGCCAAATTTCACTCTTGGCGCTTGGAAATTGAAGATTTTTGGTCACTAGGTGGCAGAAGACAACTTTAATCAAAGGCTAATCCGTGGTAGCGTTGAAACTGACAGAGAAGTAAATCAATAACATTTCGTCTTATATGTTTAGTGTTCTTCAATGTCAGTATGAACGTTAATGAATTGGATTTAAATATAAATATGTGGTTTAAATGTGCATGGATTATGTTGACTTGCTAAATGTCAAATTGCTGACAGTTTACCGTTTTTCTTCATATTTTAGCTATAGTAATATTTCAAAATGAACACTTACTGGACTGAAACAACTTAGGTTTACTTGATTATCCATACATAAAACATGTTCAAATGTGAGTGTCAAATGTGATACATTTTTGAGGAAGGTTTATTTGTTAATCTCAGTCATTGTATTGAATTGCATTATACAGTGCCGTGAAAAGGTTTTTGCCCCCTTCCTGTTTTTGTCTTCAGGATTACTAAGGCTATAGGCAGGTGAGTTTTTTTTTCAGGGTTGGAGCTGAACTCTGCAGGACTGCGGCTCTCTAGGACCGAACTTGCCTACCCCTGTACTAGGCTATATCCCATAAAACATGTAGGGCATATTAAATATAATTTTTATATTTTGTCTAAAAGTTCAATAATAATATTTTCCACATTTGTATTCAGCATAAGGATTTATTATCCATATTTGCACAAATTTTCTTTTAAATCTTAGTGGAGATGTAAGGACAACTACAACAACAACGTATTTAAATTTCGCTTTCAGCAGCTATTGTGCTTCGGACTGAAGATGGCGCTATTACAGAGAAAATGAGAAATGTAACTTCATTATACACAATGAATGGATTTAAAGGGAATGGGTTATTTAGAATTTGTGTGTGTGTGTGTGCATAAATCTGAGCCTTTAACTTATATCCACAAAGCCATCTGAATATATGAACAAGAGTGTTATTTAATCGGACAACCTCGGTCAAGGTGTCATGTGTCACAACCCACTGTGCTCCACAATAGGGAAGTGAACTGCTCTTCCTATTACTGCTGTCTAGTGACTAAACCAGAAATCGAGAGGATGAGAAACGAAAGGAACACGTTTGACGCACGGTTTATAAATGGATATGAGCAGTAAATGACACAGATTCTGCGGTTCGGATCCAGTTGTGCGCGCAATGGGAGCGTCGCCCGTGCGGGCGGCAGTTTGATAAAACAGCGACTTCTCTAAGTTTTATATGTTGGTGGCTGAAGACGATTCAAGATGAAGAAACAGTTCAACCGCATGAAACAGCTCGCCAACCAGACCGTTGGCAGGTTAGTGTGTTATATACTGTTTTTTTTTTTCTATGGTTCGTGTAAAAATATGTACACTAAAGTTGGGAGTGTCGCTGTGCGTCGCGCACCGGACTGAATTGTGATAAAACTGAAGTGCACAGAGCTAAAGACAGGTCTGAGGTGTTCAAAGTTATAAACTACACATGCTATTTGATCATGGCGCGTTATTCTATTAATGAAACCACTATATATTGTAATGGTAGGCCTATGTGTTTGATATTTGCGTGTAGAAGTGTAAAGAGTCTCCTATATACATTACAGAACTCGAATGAGATTGAGACATTTTGGTCTTCTCTGTTTTTATATGAATAGGCCTATCTATAAGGATCTGGATCATCAAACGTCTATTTGACTGAAATAATAAATACAATATATGAACAGTTTAAAAATGTGAAATTCATATTGGCTGACTGATCAATCTGTATACCTCTAACCGTTTTTGTTTTTTTTAGTTGAAGTGACTTGGCAGGTGACTGACATTTTATTAAGATAATGTAGCTAGTATTCAGTACTGTGACTTTCTCATTTAACAATAATTAGGGATGCACCACTAATGAAAAGTTGATCGATATATGGGTCCAAAAAAAAGGATTATTTGTCACTTTTCTCAATTTCAAGTGTTTAAGTGGCATCACAACATTATAATGTTCCGTATTAAATATGGATAAATATTAGTTTTAAAATAAATAGTTAATGAGAAAGTAGAGGTTATGATCGTTAATATATTATTGCGCTCTTAAAGAATTAAATGTAATCTAAAATCAAAAAGTAGTTGGAACATTGTTAGTTTTAGTTAATCACTGCAGATCTCAAGGAACAAACTTGCTTGGAAACAGTAAGAGGACATTTGAGTTGGCTGGTTTCCCTGCAGAGATATTTTAAAGGGCCTGTCAGTGTATGACAGTCTTAAAAGGGTCATATGATGCTGCTAAAAAGAACATTATTTTGTGTATTTGGTGTAATGAAATGTGTTTATGTGGTTTAAAGTTAAAAAAACACATTATTTTCCACATACTGTACATTATTGTTTCTCCTCTATGCCCCGCCTTTTTGAAACGCGTCGATTTTTACAATTTATGCACCAAGAGCTTGTAACACTCCAAAGAGAAAGGAAAAATTGAAATCGCATCATATGACCCCTTTAAAGTTGCCTTGCTTTGCATATTGGCTCCTACAAGGGTGAAAGGGTTAAGTATGGTCACAATATCTTAGATGCTTTTCACATTGAGCTTGATTTTTGCCTTTTGTTTTTGCCAAGAAATTGTCTTTATTTACATTCACATGTCTTCTTCTGTGAGTTAAGCATCTCGGACAGCTGCTAGATTCATCACTCGCTTGTCACAGTCTATCAGAGGGTCTGATGCAGCGTGAATCCTTATAAGGCACGGAAAACACAGTGCCTACCCCGGAGGCGAGTGGTGCAGCAAAATACTATAGAACCACTGATCTATAATTGAGATTCATTATATAGATCAGTGTATAGAACTCATTATAATCAGTGATGCTGTCTACACTGGATGCGGCGACATGACAAATACCCGATCAGAGTCGGAGGTATAATAGTCAGGCCAGCTCTCATGGCAGCTTTCCAGGCCAGAGAGACGCCACGTTTTTGATACAGTCGGTTAAGTTACGGCCCCAGTTGGTTTTGCCTCCGCTGCAAAAGGAAACACTGTCAGAGATTTTACAGTGATGAAATACATAGGAAATTGCTTGGTCTTCTGTGATATATAAAGTTGCTGATATTCATTTTAACTTGGGTAACTTTTAATCCTTGATTAAAAATGATAAATGTTGTAGGAGATATCCTGTATCTTTAGTGATGCTGCATACTTCAGTGATTTGTGGTGAAGTTTTGAACTTAGAAAATGTAAAAATCTAGCTGGAGATGTAATTGACTTTGAATCAGATGCTAATCAGAAATGGCATAAACACACAAAAATACACGGTTGCATCCAAAACATTGCACTCTGGTGGCAATTTTGTGTTAAAATCATGCAAAAATAGTGGCGCAGACTCAAAACTGGCCATTTAGATCCAGGATACTTAAGTTTTTAAGCATGCTTGCTGATGAACATAGAAGTTCCTTCTTTCCCTGAAACCTAAACCAGATGTTCAGTGAGCTGGTCAAAAGAAAATCGTGGCAAGAGGCACTCTGTCTACATGCTTTATTATATGTCATTGATCTTAGTAGTTGATCTAACAACAGGGAACATTCTCAGAACTTTGGCTAACGTTCTGGTGAGGTTCTCTCCAACGTTTTTCAGTAACATTAATGTTTAAAGTTATCTGGTCTTTAATAATGTTCTCAAAATGTTAGCACTGAAATTGTGTGTATACATCGTTCATGGAATTTTTGTGCACTGTTTTAGTTGGACGCTCATCTTACTACTTTTGAATGTTCCGAGAAATGTTCCCATGATGTCTGCAAAATGCTAAATGGAATGTTCCTTTAATGTTTTTAAAATTGGATGGCATTCAGAAGTAACGTTTTCATAACTTAATTGGCAAAATGTTCTGAATATATTTTGTTAGCTGGCAGAGTACAAGTTGGAATTAGGGCAAGCGGTTTAATTCGGTTTTTAAAGCAAAACATTTTGTCAAAGGAAATAAAAAGTAGGTGACAATATCTCTTTTGTTGAATGACCAGCTACCAACTAACATAATCTGGAGAGATTTTAATCTTTTCAAATAAACATATTGCCACTTAAACCCCTTGTTTAGTAGGGTTAAACGTGTTTACTGAACTGAAAAGGCCTGCAAAGTTCTGTTAGGGACATTATGCAAGATGCAAGCTCCAGTACTGTTGATCAGCTGTTATATTTACAATCATGGCTACCAATCAGATTCTGCTTGAATATGGCTAAAGATTATGCTTTTTGTTCTTAATAATTTGTCGTAATTGAGCATTATCGCTTTATGTTAGTGCAAACTAAAAGGAAAAAACAAAGTTTGAAACGGTCACCCACAATTAAACATTCAACACTGGTGCATCCATATCAATAATATGTAGCAAATAGAATTTACATTTTTGTGTACCAATTAAATTCTGCTTCAGTATGGTTTGAAATGATGCATTTTTATTAGGGTTGGGTCGATGTCTACAAAATTGGCACTCACAAATTTCAAATGATTTTCAACGGTCGCTTTGCCGCGTCCAGTGTAGACAGACTTTAGCTGATGCGGCACGGTGCAGCGCGACATGATAACTGTGTATCACGATGCCGGCTCAACATCGTGATGTCTATTGGCCCAACCCTAATTTTTATGCACCATTTCAAACCTAAAGAAAGCTTGAGTATGTAAAGTTATCTTGTGCTGCTTACAGATCACAGAATAACACATTACTCATTATTATGATGCAGTTCATCTTGTGCTCAGAATCAAATTACTTGGAGATATTTACGGGCTTTAGTGATCAATCCAGTACCGTAAAGGACGTTTTGATGGTCTAAGCTTAGGTCTTTAGAAATCTTTATAATAGCATGTATGCTGTATTCTCAACTTTGACTGTGTATGAAATGTTAGCTGAGGTATTTCTAGAGGTTTACACACATAACCCGATATGCATTTGCTGAACACAGGATCAATGCTAATTCAGTATTGATGGAAATCTAAAAATTCCCTCCTGCCTAACGTGAGGTCAGTCTCAAGCCTGTGTAACGGGATCTCAGGGATATTTTCTCTTGTTACATGACCAATTTTTTGACAATTTTTTTTCTGTACTGCCTGTGTGTAGAGTCTCTTTTGTTATTTCTCGTGGTTTCTCTCTTTTAGAAAAGTTGTTGTATATGACATTTAACAACTTCTAATATCTGTCAAGAACTTTAATATTGATCTACTCAACCAAAATAATCACCATGGTGCTTGACCTTGAGAAAGGTCCCTTTATCTGGAGGGATTGTCTGTGTGTCAGTTCATCACATGAAAGTTGTAATGTAGACATAAATAGCAGTTGCACTGGTTATGTGGTGATAAAATATCTGTGCTATAAAAAAAGATTCAAGGGTTTACCTTTTTTTTTTTTTACTACACTGCTGGCTCAGCAGTTTTACCACTTGAAAAAAACAAAAACAAGCCAGATGTACACCAGATTAATAGACATTAAAGATATTTTGAATATAATAAAAAGCTTATTAACTTGTTTATTAATAATAGTACATTTAAGATATATTGACTATAATAAAACAGGCATTTTATTTTTAATTAACTTGTGAGAAGACAAACTGCATAAAATATTAGGGCTAGTTTTATATCTTGAATATTTGAAGACAGTATTATTATTATTATTATTTAAGATAGGTATAGATATTATTATAATATATATAAGTTTTTTCTCAAGTAGTTTTTTTTAGCTGTGTTTTGTTTTTTCTTGTTCAATGCATAAGTCTCCAAAAATAATGTTAGATTTAGCAAAAAAGAAAAAATTTTAATTCATTTCAGGATACGTTCTCTGAAAACAAGTCTCATTTTCTCATGCAATGTTGCTTCACAACTAAGTTTTTCTTATTTTTAAGATGATCAAATATTCTTACTGGAAAGATTAAGGCTTTTTTAAGGGTAAAAGACTTGGGAACATTTTCTTTGTTCAAAATAATGTGCATAACACATATCTACACATAACTATTACAACAATATACACTCTAAAAAATGCTGGGTTGTTTCAACCCAACTTTGGGTCAAATATGGACTAACCCAACCGTTGGGTTAAATTTTTACATTAAATATTTGTAATATTTAATTACATATTTGACCCAAAGTTAGGTTGAAACAACCCAGCATTTTTTAGAGTGTATATTGTTGTAATAATAAATGAAAATACTGAAACTATCACAGATGATGCCATAATAACGTTCTGACTGTACAATGTCCCCATAGTATGATTTGTGATAGTTTTATGGCCTCTGGTCAAAGGGAGACTCTGCTCATTAGTTATGAAGCTCCACCTGTTTTTGCTGACAAGAGTGTGTGTAAAGCACCAACAGCCCCGCCTCCTTTACCGCTGTTGCCATAACAAACAATGTGGAATGCAGGAAGTGGATTTTTTTCTTCTGACGTGTGCCAAACTGACAGTTTGTTGACATAGTTCTAAAATAAATGATGTTTAATTTTGAAAAAGTGAAGTGCAGTGGATGTTTTAAATGGATGATATTAATGATGATGAAATCCAATGAATTTTACATGTGAAGTGAAGGCTTTACACAAAGCTATGTTCTTGCATGTTTGTGTTGTTGGTATCTTTTTATAGTGATACCAGCTTAACCTGCTTTCACAGTCACCCTGAGAAAGAGCATCAGTCACATGAAGCACTGCACATTTAGTCTGCTCATATAACCAATCACTGTTTTCCCTTTTTTTGTCCACAGAGCAGAGAAGACAGAAGTACTGAGTGACGACCTTCTTATGGTGAATATTTTGTCCTTCCATGACTTGATCATGACTTTATCACAACTATGAATGACTGCACAAATCACCCAAAATTCCACCCAAGTCACCAGTGTTATTTTAGTATTATGTGTATACTATTAAAGTTTTTATTAACATTTTAATTAGCTTTTTAAATTAACTTTATTCTTTGTCACTATTGTAATTTTTTTATTTTTTTTATGTCACTATTTAGGTTTAATTTATTTTTCATTTGTTTTAGTATTTAGTATTTTTATTTTTATATTTTAGTTTTAGTTCAGTTTTTATTTATTTCCAGTTAGTAATTTTAGTGCTTTAACTTATTGCAAACTTATTGCAGTTAGTTGCCTTGTCAACATTTCTAAATTTCATATTGCTTAAAAATGTCATCTAATACTGTATTTATATTTTATTTCAGCTTCATTTAAACAAACAAAAAAATATTTTAAATAGTTTTAGTTAACAATAATATAATAACCCTAGAAGTCACTGAATTATTATTTTTGCTAATTATTAATTTAAGAAATTAATAATAAGAGTATTATGTTTTATTTCATGGCTCTCTTGAATACTTGATTTAGATTTTTCACTGCATTCTGCTTTCAAATATTTTTGCATAATGATTTTAAACTATATAATTAACCATTGGCCCTGCCAAACGATTTCCTAAGACACACAGCCTTTTTTCCCTTGCATATCATCTCAAAACAACATTTATGCATCAATATTTTAATATTTATGTCTGTTTGTTTATTTATTTATTTGTTAAGTAGTTGTGCAATAAGCAGGATAATGTACAGTAAACTGGTCAAAAATACTGTTTTGCAGACTAGCTGATTGTAGATGATCCTTTACATATCTTCTGTATGTATTCATATTAATCACAGTATTGAACATGTATAAATTAATAAGGCATAACAAAGCAGATATTGTGCTCTAGTATGACTTTAGCTCTTATTTAGTGTTATTCTTGAGCTTCTCTAATCGTCTCTTTTGCTTTCTCTTACACTATGAGTATCTCAGTTGACCTTTGGCCCTTTACATTCAGCTTCTTCTTTCTCACAATCTCTCCTCTTTCACACTCCTCCCTGTTCCTTTTTCTGACTACTTGCAGATAACAGGAAAGCAACTGACTGTCTGAATATTTCTAACGCCACACGGCCCATGTTTGCATGAGTATGAGTGCAACTATGGCTGTTATGAACAAAGGAAAGCCTAAAATAGCTCAAAAGCAGCTTTATTGTGGCGTATGTAGATGCTGGTGATTATGCATATAAATCTAAAAAATATGCAATTTACTGCATGACACCCAAAATCTTCCAAAGCAAACACTCACTCTAAAAACAAAACTAATCAGCCTAATCTGTCACTACCTCATTGTTTATAAAGCACCTTGTTGAAACATGCCTGTGCAAAACACTGTACAGCTGAAGGGAAATCATTGAAGCTCGACGGACTCTCGCCAGAGCTTTATATGCTGCTCCTTGACCTTCATTCATGCATTCCTTGTCCAAGGGTCAAAGTTTAACTACCTGATTGCTCTGCAACTTACACCGCCTCAGCTTTGCAGGAGGGAAAAGAAACATGATAATGGGCCATACACTCCCTCTTGAAATGAGTCAGAGGGAGATGTTTTCTGGCTTTTGAAGGTCTGCCAGGTTAAAATGCAGCGGTGTTGGCAGATGGCCCCTGTTAGAGCTGTACTGCCGCTGGTTTCTCTGGTCGTGGTTGGAGTTTTTGTGAACCAGCATTGGGGGGGTAACACAGCTAGCTGAACTACATTTTTCAGTAGCTGGTTTCAAAACAGGAAAGCCTTTTTCTACTAATGAGCTGCTTTTTCCAACCAACAAATAGTCACTAAATGCTGTTTTTTTTTTGTCACATTGTGTTGCATAGAAATGAAGCAATAATCATGCACTCTCCTAAAATATATTTTCTTATGTTTATAGTATCGGAAAGTCCCATTCATTTTAGTTTGGATGATTCATGTAAATAAACTGGGGAAAAAAAGAAGATTCACAGATTAATTTCATTACAGATCAGGGTTTTTATAAACCTAAAAAAACAACAACATTTCGTTACTTGAAATAAATGTTAACTGAAATAAGTTAAATGTTAAAACTAATAAATAACAATTAATACAAACTATATAGACATTTAAAAAAAAAAAAAATGAAAATGACAAACACAACAAAATTACATGTTTTTTTTAAACGTATTATGAAAACTTAAATACAAGGATATATATATATA